GAACCAGGACCGGCTGTGCGGGTGCACGGATGGGAAACCCCCCTGGAGCCGCCGGGTACGGGCAGAGAGAGGAAAGGAGGGGGTGGGAGAGAGGGGAGGGGGAGAGAGAGAGAAAAGGGAGAGGAGGAAAGTGAAAGAGGAAAAAAGGAGGGTGTGGAGCAGGCAGGCAGGACCCGCTTTCGCAGCATTCCGCTGGTCTCACAGTTACAGGCAGCCCAGAAGGAGCCTCTCATCGCTGCGGTCATCAGGGGGTGTGACATCACGGGGTTGTTGTCAGAGGTGGAAAGTGAACCGGCTCCTCTCCTCTCTGCAAGTGGCAAGTGAAAAAAACCCCACGCTGATAACGAAAGGGAAAAAAAAACCCTACAGCAAAGTTTAACTATTTCATTTTTTTTCCTTCTCTCATCAATAACTTTGCCTGATCGTGAGAATTTGTTCTAATTCAGCCCCTCAGCAGCCCGAGGGGCACCTGAGCTACCACCCCAGGAGTTTGCATCAGTCCCTCCTCCACGCTGCAGTCACATCGGTCTGCACTTGGGCTCTAGTTTGTAGAGAACACGAGATTTCCTTACACAGGGAAGCAGCAGACACTCTGCAAAGCACAGGTGCCATGATCCCACTTGCCAGGTATGGTGGGAAACTCGTGGGAGCCTCCTGGCAGCACCGTGCTGGACTGGCTGCAGGGTTGGCTTCACACGGAGTGACAAGGACACGAAGCAGGAGTTTGAGAAAATCAAACAGGATCTGAAGACAGAAGACATTCAGGTGAGGGTAGGACCAAGCCCTAGAGGAGGCTGTGGTGGAGTTTCCTGCAGCACATGGTCCTCTGCTTAGGACAGCCATGTGTTGCTAACCCTCTAGTTCACCTCAGCATCCAAGGCCACCGAGGGTGTGATGGAGGGACCCGAGCTGTGGGCTGGGTTTCTGCCCCTCCTTGTTCCCTCACTTCATCACACAGAGGAGCTGATGAAAGTCACTCCTGGAGCAGCCAGGGAGTCCAGCTCAGGACACCAAGCAGAGGTGGGCAGCAGAAGATGGAGAGGAACAAGAACACAAAGGCTGGGTCAAATGTGCCAAGAGAGGTCCAACCCATGACAGCATCTGCCAGCAAGGAGATGGTCTCAGCAGCACAAGGTGGCCAGAAGCACTGCACTCCTCCCTAACCCTCTAAACAGCACCTTGTACTTGTGTGCCTGTGGCCACTACCCCTCTACACCTCCTTCCAGACAAAGCAGCCACCACAAAGGCATTTTCAAAACCATCTTGCTGTATTGTGGCTACAAACACTGCTGACTTGCCTGATAACTTCCTCTTCAAACAAGCACAATACACATATTCCTCCTGGTTGTCATTCCCCTCAACACTCACCCTCTTCACAGCACAGGACACCATTTTCCCTCCTAGGGAAGTTCTGCTTTGGCAGAAAGGAGAGGAGCCAGCCAGTCTGCCTACCTGGCCCAGGCACCTCACCGCAGGTCCCTCAAAGTCACACCTGCACACACACTCCTTCAAGCAAACTGACACAAATCTTGGGCTTCTGAGAACAGAAGAGGAAGTTAAACTCGACCCTAATGTATTTTCCAACCTTGAAAAGACATTTACATGACTCTACCAATGCCATTTTCAATGTGCATTGTGTAGATACACCTTCCTCACACACAAACAAACTTCCTGTGACTGTAGCTCAAGAGAATTCAGATGAAAGGCAGCCACAACAATCATAGTATGGCTCTGTAAACCCATGACATAAAATAGGCTGCTTCACTTTGCCCTTCAAATATCCATTCTGACATTTTTCTCTCTCTGGAGTAATGCAAAAAAAATGTGGGTATTTGACACTCACCAAGGGTGACAGGACAAACAGGCCCAGTGACAAAAATGCAGAACTGAAATGCACCTGAAACCTCACTACAAGTGAGAGAAGCAGAAGGAACACAAAACACATGTTGAGCCCCACTTCTGTTCTGGGTGCTGAATTCCCACATTCAAGGTGTGTCAGTTCCCTTCTCCATTTAAGAATTACAGTTGGCAGAGAAATCAGGTAGGCTGGCCACCATTGTTCCTAACCCAGTGCTCAACAGCAGTTACCTAACTCTTGCATTGAAAATAAAAATAAACATCTGCCAGTTCCCAATACGTGACACAAATGTGCTGGAAGTAGAAAGGAGTGTCCAAATACAATTCATTTGGAGGGTGAAATCACATTTTTATGTGACACACAAATAAATGTCTAGGTGATCTTCGGAAGAACACACACAGAGCCCTTCAGACAACTGTGGATCATGGAAAAGAGAGTCTTTAACACAGTTCTTCAAGGCAGATTTTAAAACAAGCTTAGAGCAGGATTCTCCAGCATAAAAAAACTTTAAGTAGAGTTTTAGAAATATCTCAGCTCCCCAGGTCTGTTCAGCATGCTGAGGTCTTTGGAGAAACATACCTGATTACAGTTGGCAGAGAAATCAGGTAGGCTGGCCACCATTGTTCCTAACCCAGTGCTCAACAGCAGTTACCTAACTCTTGCATTGAAAATAAAAATAAACATCTGCCAGTTCCCAATACGTGACACAAATGTGCTGGAAGTAGAAAGGAGTGTCCAAATACAATTCATTTGGAGGGTGAAATCACATTTTTATGTGACACACAAATAAATGTCTAGGTGATCTTCGGAAGAACACACACAGAGCCCTTCAGACAACTGTGGATCATGGAAAAGAGAGTCTTTAACACAGTTCTTCAAGGCAGATTTTAAAACAAGCTTAGAGCAGGATTCTCCAGCATAAAAAAAACTTTAAGTAGAGTTTTAGAAATATCTCAGCTCCCCAGGTCTGTTCAGCATGCTGAGGTCTTTGGAGAAACATACCTGCAGGTGTGAAGAGAGGGAAGAGGAGCAACTAAAAACTCTCATCCCACATTTTGAGCTACTTAACACTGAGTTATTCTCAAAATGTATAATCTTAGTCTTACTGTCCCTTCAGCAAAGGTCACCTTAGCACAGATCCTACCTGCCTAGTAAGAGGGAAATGAATGCCAGCAAAGGTTCATTCAGACAGCACCACCCTTTGTACACCAGCTGGTAAAATATGGATCACCTAAATAAACACCTTCCTGTTTCAGGCAATGATTCCTGAGAAGGAAAAACAACACCATCCTATACAGCCACTTCATATGGAAAAACCCCTGACTAAATAGGACATTCTTATTCTACACTCCTGATAAAGAAGTGACCACGACAGTTGCATGTGATCTGGGTACATTCTCAGGGCATCTGCTATGTCCTGGGCACATCGCCACTTCTTCTCCCACCTGCTGTGCTTCATGACATGTAGGTGTCACACACAACAGTCAGCTGGTTAAAAAAGGACATACTCACCAGAAGCCAGGCAAGCAGCCCCTACTTTGGCACCCTAGGAAGCACCATCTCTGTGTTTCAACATCTTTTTGCCCCCTTACACATCTTTCCCCTGCAGCCATCTCTGATTTCAGTTTGGATTAAAGAGGAAGAAAAATAAATCTGAAAATGCCACTTATTTCCCCAAAAAAGTCTGCTCCCCAGGTCCACATCAAACCCTTCCCACAGAGCAGGGCTATGAGGCAAGGCTCCTCCTGGGGAGAACCAGGAGAAGGACAGAGGCCCCTGAGGGAGCAGCGAGGAGAGGCAGGAGAGCTGAATCCAGGAGCACACACCAACAGAGGTGACCACGGGACATCCCATCACCAAGGCAGCCAGGGAAGGAACTCACAAACCAGGCTGCAGCACGATCATCTTTGTGCCATGGCACAAACCTGTGCCTCTGCTGCTGCAAAGGTGGGAGGGAGCCCCAGCTCACACCAGGGACGTGACTGCTGCCATGTCAGGCCTTCAACTCCGGGGCAGCAACTGAGCAGGAAGGAGACGTGGATTTGGAAAGAATTCAAGTCAGCACCTCCCAAAACACCAGCTGGTATCTTGTGATCCCAGAACTATTGGGTAAATCAGATCCACTGTTGCTAATGGCTTTGGCTGTGGAAGGACACCCAGCAATTATACCAACAGTCCTACCTTACACCAGCTTGGAGTTTTAGGATGACTAACCAACCAACGTTTTTAATGGCAAAGGAAAGTGAGGCCTAGGAAAAAGGGCAGTGAGAATTAATAGCTAAGTCATGGCCTGCATGTCTGAGAGAGCAAAGAACAGCAGATTTCAGGACAGGAAACCAATTTCTACGAAGAGCTAACAGAGGAAGTGTTGAGTCTGGCAATGTATTCTCAGCAATGTGCTGGAAGCTGAGAGCTCTGACAGGGCTGGGATTTTCCCGTGGTCATTTCTGCCCTGGGGAAGGCAGGTGAACTTTTGCAGAGAGAAATTCTCCGAAGGTCCAAGTCAGAACTTGGCAGCTGTGGTCCACGGCCTCTAAGCACCTCCCCTGCCCTTGCACAATCCTTTCTAAGAGCAGCAGGTCCAGGAAGGAAAGTGTGTCACACCAGCACAACTGCACAGGGAACTTCCAATATGGGGATGTAGGAAACACATTAAAAAGTCAGAGATCACAATCTGGGTTTGATAGGCAGAAATATTCCACACCCATGAGGGAGCCCACCCCCTCCCATAAAACCTGGGTCCCCTTTTCTCCCCCTCCTCCTCACTTTTCCAGCTGACAAGAGCTCTGTGGCAACTCCCTTGTCCACCAAGACACCAGGGGTGTCTCCTCTCCTATTTTTCCAGCGAAGAACTTCTCTCCAAAACGGTCTGTTTCCCCTTCAGCTAGGGACAATTTCCACACCTGGAGCCAAGCAAGCAGGACAAGCTTACTGAGGCCACTCTGTGAGCTCCAGCAGCCAGGAGGGACCCTGGCACCTCTTCATGAGGCGTTCGAAAGGGGGTTTGGTGCCCCCAGGTACCAAAAGCAGTTTGGCCAAACCCTACCAGAGGGCCAGGCCTGGGAGGGAAAGGCGCTGCCAGGACACAGCGGGGCTCAGAACACCCTGCTGCCCCCGGGCCCGGAGCTGCAGCCGGCAGGGAACGGGGCAGGAGGTGAGAGGAAACATCTCGGGACAAGCACGTCTCGGCGTGATCGGTTCCCGTGCCTGTCCAGCCAGGGCAGCTCAGCCCCGTTACTGACCCCACCGAGACCAACAACCCCCGGGCCTTACCTGCCTGGGACGGGGCCAGGAGTGAAGGGTCAGGGGTGAAGGGCCAGGGATGAATGAAGGGCCAGGGGTGAAGGGTCAGGGGTGAAGGGTCAGGGGTGAAGGGTCAGGGGTGAAGGGCCAGGGATGAATGAAGGGCCAGGGATGAAGGGCCAGGGCTGAAGGGGCAGAGGGGAGGGGCC